TATCACTAATTTAATTTGTGTCTTCAAAATCAACTAAGTATATTAAATTCAAAAGATATTAATTGGTTTGGTATTTTCTTAAATAATAATAATAAAAAAAAAATATTTAATTTTGCTATAAATAGCAGGTTATTAACATTTTAATTTTATTTGTAAATAAGTAAATGAAAAATAAAAAAGTGAAAAATTGCTAAGTAAATTTGTTTAGTTTATTTATTGAAGAAAGAACAAGAAAAAAAAATATTTATGTTAATTAAATTCTCCATGTAAACAAACAAATTTGTGTTTGTTCGAAATAACGCAAGCGGCAATAAAAAAAGCAAGTTTTATATCATACATATACATACATACATATATACGATTAGGTATTATATACTTCTTAAGACAAATATACTGGCCATAGATTATTAAATTATATACACACATTTATTATAAATTTTTGTAGAGAACTTAGAGGGCATAAGCAGAGTAAACAACGAGTGAGTTGTATATACTTATAAGTATAGGCAAATGTACTTGTACGAGTCCATAATAATTAATATATTTTTTACAGTATTTTTTGTTTTTTTATTATAATTCTTTATGTACTCCGAAATTGTAAACGAAATTTTTCATTAAAATGAAAAAGGATATTAGAATTTTTCTTACTTGTAAAATTTTTCCTTTTACTTCCTTTGAATTTTTATTTAATGTACAGGTACTTAATTTCATGTACTCATTGTAGATTGTAGATTTTTAAGGGAATCGAGTGGGGCAGGAGTATCCTCCCGGACCATCGCGGCCATTCGTGGCTTATTGTAGCTTCTCCACGCCCCCATCTATCATATCCCAACCCCAAGTATGAAACAGGAGATATCCCAAAGGGAGTTCCTGAACGCTTAGGAAAGCTTGTTCAAAACAATTGCGAAGCCAGACAGCCAGTATCGGGCAGTCGCAAAGGATGTGCACGGCAGTTTCGTCATCGAACCCTCAAAATCTGCACAGGGGAGAGCTCAATTTTCACATCCTATCACCGGACAGTGCTCCATGAAGGAATGCGCAATAGCGCGAACCCGGCCAAATTCATATATAATATATAATAATATATTTCTTACACACAGATGTGAATCTTTTAATCTAGACAAGTGTATACATTTGTATCTGCACAAGTGAAACAAACAAAATTTCTTCATTTAAAAAACAATTATTAATTAAAAGATTTCTTTGGATATTCTTAATTATCTAGTTAATGCGGATTTCGAACACTATCAAGAAATATTATATATAATTTTTAATTATATTGCATCTAATTTTTAAATTTAAGGTAAAAAGGGAGCCGCCTACTGTGTATTTAGAAGCCTTACAATTCAACTTAGTTAATATTTGACTGTATGAAATTAATTTTAATTCGCAATATGTAATTAAAATTATTGATTCTTAATACTTTGTATATAATTAAATAAATTAATCTTAGTTGCCTTGTATGTAGAACCCTTTAGTTAGTATAAAAACTCATCATGCTTACAGAAAACTAAAATTATTTTTTCTAAATTTATAAAATTTAATTACAAGTTTGCGCAATAAAAGTTGAGATTGCAAAAAACTAAAGATGAAATTATGACGACAAAAAAATAAAATTTTATTATTTTAAAAAAAATACAATTACAGTATTTATTTTTCGATCAAGAAAAAATAAACAAAAGAAAATTATAAAAATAAAATAAATCAGAAGGCGAAAATTTTTTTTATAGATAAGGTGGGTTAAAGTTACAAGCTATTTAAATTTTCATTAAAAACTTGAAAAGGGTACAACTGGATATTTTTACAAAAAAAAAAAAAAATTTTGTAAGAACAATGGAATTTTGTGAATAACTTCAAAGAAAATTTAAAATTTCTTGAAGTTGAACTTTTGAGAATTTTTTTTGAGGCAAAAATTTTTCTGAACATCAATTCCGAATTTTACTTCGAATGATAGAATAAATTCGTCGGAATATTCAGAATTAGTCATAAAGACCTCAATTTTCGTTCAAAATTTTTATTAAAAATGGAAAACTCGAAACATGAGTTCAAAAGACAATATTTTGTGCTTATAAATTGAATTCGTTTAATCGCGCATATTACAAATTGAACAATTTTTTGAAGGGACTGAATTCAGTTTGAAAAAATTCGATTATTTACGAATCATTTTAAAACTAAATGTTTTCAACGTTTAAAATAATTAAGCAAGTACAGTAAAAAAAAAAACAAAAGAAATTATTAAATAAAGTAGGTAATAAAAGTAAATAAAAAATTTAACTTAAAAATCTATAGTTGGCAGTTATATACTCGTACTTACATAGATAAATATGTACATATGTAAGTATTACTCATTATATGGTTGGTGAACGACCTGATTACCTGAGCCTACTCTATTTTTACAATGAATAATAACATTTGAGATAAAAAAATGAAAAATCAAATAAAGAGTGTAGTAAAAATAAAAACAGTTATCGTTTTTTTTTTTAACGTGATAAAAATCAAATCTCAGAAAAAGTGAATTTGAAAATGTGTAATTAAAAAAACAAGGTATGGAAGTGTGTACAATACTTGTACACATAGATGATCTTGGTATACATACATTTTTAAGAACGTATTTCTAGAGAGGAATTATTGATTTTTCCCAAATAGAATGCTACTTAGCATGACAATTTTAAAATTTACTATAAAACTCGGTATGTACTAACAAATAATCATCGATACAAAATTTTTGTAATTATAGCATGTATGTATGTACATCAATTTAAAAATTTTTAATTATTATAACGCTTTTCAAAATTTTTAGTAATTAAATTATATTAAAAGTTATGGAAAAAAATTGCAATCCAATCGCATAGGCCATATTCTTCTATCATGACATTTACTCCATAGCCTAAAATCTCATGATATGCGAAGCAACATTGCAGTCAACCGTGTATTACCATCAATTATACTAACATATTAATAGCCATCAATTTTTTACAGTGTCAGCAGGAACTCTTTGTACGGCACAAAACATTCTAATGTACGTAAGTGTGTAATGTGATTTTCTGATAGACTGGTTTCATTCTAAATTGTTACTTTAAAATTTATAACATATGTATTGATGTAGAACGTATATATACACATACATACATATGATTGTATATACGTGTTCATTTTTGTTAAAAGAAATTATTTTAATGCGTATTTTAAAAATTCTTTTATCAAATTTTTTATTATTTAAGATTGAACTTGATTTGAGAGTAAATTTTTTTGACATTGAATGAAATGTGAATTTATAATTTGAATCAAATATGAATGTGAACAAATTAATAACTTTTGCTCTAATAAATTTTATATGGCATGGAAAGTTTTCTCTTTCCACTGAAACATTAAATTTTTTTTTTAAATTCTTATCGTTTTTTTTTTAAATTTTCATTTTTTAATGTATTTATGATAAAACAGACAACATGTAGGTAGAGAGCTGTTTGTATCCATGCAACTACATATACATACATACAACATACATATGTATGTACATATGTATATAACTATTCACATAAAAAAGAAAGAACGATTTTTGATAACGTCGTAACTGAAGTTTATCATGTCAAAAAAAGAAAAAAAAAATTCAAGTGGAATTTAATGCCAATCGAACCGTAAATATTTGATAACGTTATTAATATCTTAACAATACTATTAAAGATATGAAATGTTTGTTTTTGGAAAAAAAAAATCTAAAATTATTAAAAAACGAAAATTTATACAAAATTATTTTTACAGCATAACTGTACTTATGTATGTATTATTATTTACGTAAGTAGTAGTACTAATAAATAATGATATCGAATAATTAGATATGTGAGTACAACATATAAGTAACCGTACATCCCCACTCAAAGTTTTAGTTCTAATCAGTGTAATTCTGTAGCTGAATCAAAAATCTCTGAACTTGAATATTAGAAATCAAATTTTTTCGGAAATATTCTTTGCACTTCGAGAGTACAATCAAAGGCACAAAAATATAAACGTTTCTTTTTCATTTCAAACTATATTCCATCGCTTTTTACCTAATATTTTAGATTTCATAAACGACCACTAAATTTAGAATCATAGAAAATTATTTATGACTTGACAGTGCCTTATTTACTATAACTTTTTGCGGCAACTATTTAATTCAAATTGAAATTATATCAATAAAACACGTCGAAAATTTACGATATTAGCCAACGGAGATCTTTTGACAAAAAAATGTAATCCAGAATAACAACGAATTTAATTCGAATTTCTAAAACGAGAAAATTATTAAATGAATAGTCATCAACGTCATTCCCTAATGTGAATCATCATTAAAAATTTTTTCAGCTATAAATAAAACTGATAACTTATTTACTAAAATAACTTTAAATTTAAAATCTATTGTACAAAGCAAGCATACGTAATAATTTAATCATACACTTAATATTTACGTTATAATTTAATCACATAATTTAACCTTTAGCTTTTGTCAATTTCAGTATGACAACAATGTTTTGACTCAAATAATTTCAATTGCTTTTGGTATTCAAAGTGACAAAAATTTTAAAGCGATTTCTTTTATCTCTAAGTATATCGTATATAAAAAAAATAAATGTCAGCGGTAACTCGCTGGAAAAATACCGTAGGTATATGATGTCGAAACTTTTGTCATATATCTATGATTTTTTGGTTAAATATGGGTATATGTGTATGTATGTTATGTTATAAGCTTTGCCGATTGTTTACATAATATTCTTGTTGATTTCGATTTACCCATGACGTTTGTTCAATTTTAATGAAAAAGACAAATATTAAGTGAAAATTTAACAAATTCTTAAATTCTTTATAATTTCAAACTAATCCAGAAAATGACATTAAATATAATGGTGTAATTTTCGATTCATAGTATAGCAAAGCAATTCATTGTAAATTGTTCTTATATTTTTAATATCATATTTAATATAAAATTAATTTAAGAAAATAAAAAAAAAAATGTTTTTACTCACCTGAACTTGAAACATTGTTACAGAATCATCTAACATTTGTATTCTAACGGCTAATTTTTTGCCACCACGATGACGTGGTGTCGATGGTGTACCATCAACACCAGATGGTGTACTTAATGAATGTGTCATTCGTCCACCTGGTATACTTGGACCAATATTACTTCCAACATTTCCAGTGCCACCACTATTATTTGTATTTTGTGTGGTTATACCACCACTACTATTACCACCTCCAGGGGGAGCCATTTCTTGTAATGATATTGACATTTATGGAATAAACTGATCAATTTTAAATATTCTGTTCTTTTTTTTGTTTTTTATCTAGTTATGTAAATTTAATCGCGAAAATTTTTCTGTTATTATTAATTTTTAATTTGTTCGTTTTTTTTTTTTTAGGATAAAATTTTAAATATCGAGATTTTTTGTTTTTTTATTTATTAAATTATTTTTATTATTATAATCGGATCTTTTCTTTAATATTTTGGCAATATCGTTTTCGTTTATTTTGGAAGAACAACAAAAAAAATTTTAATTAAATTTTTTTTAGTTTTTTAGTATTCTCTATAATATTGTTTTGTTTGTTTTTTTAAGGTGTCGTAATAATAATTTTTTATAATATTAATTACAATTGTTTTGTATTGTTTCTGGTAATATAAACCTACATAAAAAAAATTAATTTTTCTTAATTAAATCCGATTAAAATCAATTTTAATCAATTTTAAGAAATTTATTGGATGTTATAACTTCGACAAAAAAAAAAAAAAACAATTTTATCATGGCTAATTTTAATTTTTCTTAAAATAATTTTATTTTTTCGAAAATTGTGTCAATGTCACTGTATTTCTTTCTCCTACACGTCATGTTATTTAATATTGTAAACCACCTAACTATACATTTATGTATGTATGCGTTTAAGCTCATGGAAGAAATATATTTGTAACTGTCTTAATTTTATAAAAATAAGTTATAAAATTAGAATACGAGTATATCAAATTTAATATTCATACAGCGAAGATATAAAATTATGTAAAAGAAACTATTTTGCAAAAATTTTGATTATTTTTATTTCGATTGGCAGAATATTGGAAGTTTTAAGAACAATAATTGCTGTACAAGTAAATGACTAAATCCACAACCACTAAAAGTGACACTCTTAGTGCCTAGTGACTATAATACAAGAGACTGTTATTATAAATAGTTTCATTATGATAAGCAAAATATTGAATTATGTGCTCAGTACAAGTGAATGAGAACCTTTGACATTAATTTGAAGTAAATTTGGAAATTTGAATTTGAAAGTGCTATAGTATTATTTTCCAAAAGAAATTTCGAGGTTTTTTCGAAATTACGCAAAATATCAAAAAATTCAAAAAGGCTCTTCTAAAAAACTCACTATATAAGCCCTTGCTAATAATACGTCAATTTTCAAAAGTTATCATAACCTTTCGTTCTTAAAAAAATATTAAAAATCTAAAAAACACCATCCAAAAATTAAACAAAAAAAAATTTAAGGCAGTTCCGTTGTTGTCATTTAAATGGTTAATATTAAATTTTGGAACTTATCTTTAAAATAATTGTTCATGTTTTTTTCTCTTTTGTTACCTATCATACCTATGATAAGTACCAGAAACCAATACATTATAATTATACAAACATATATGTTGTACGGTGCATACCATTTATTCTAACAAAAAATTAAACGTTTAAGGAATTTGTCGGTAAATACAGCCAAATCACTTAGGCATACACAGATATGTAGTACGTTTTTTAAGAGAAATTCAGAAATAATGTCTGAATTCAGACGCCCAAAATCTTAAATTTTTGAAAATTGAATATAAAAAAAAAAAGTTGTAAGTCATTTTCTATTTAACAACCTTTTTTTTTCTAAATTATTCAAGGCATATTTTATGTTTACCTACATACATATATACATATATACTTTTGTTAGACTGATTTGATAAATAAGTTGCGTAAGCATAAAATGAACGGAAATAAAATTAAGAAAAAAAAAAGAATGTGATTGAAAATTTTATAATAAATTGTTAAATTTTATATCTTTGATAAAAAGTGGAGGTTTTAATTTTTCCTGTTCTAGGTGATTAAATCAAATAATTTCTTTATCACATCATAACGAAACCTTTTTCAAATTGACACTAAACGGGTACATATATTGTTTATTTGTTATATTATGGCGGCTCTAAAGTATTTTAAATTTTTTTTTTTTTTTGAGGAAGAAGAGAAAGAAATTGGTGCAATTGGTGCTTTGATATTGGAATGGAAGATTAATGTACAATAATATTTGAAAAAATACGTATAAAAAATTTAATGAATTTTTGAAGTTTTGTTTTTGATGAATTAAAACAATGTTTTTCAGTTCTTTTAATTGTAATCACTATAATTTCAGGACTAATTAAGATATATTGATGAAATTATGAAAAATTTTTTGCTGTCGAACTACAGGTGCTTTGTTTTTAAAAACAAGAATTTAAAAAAGTTACAAATTAAGCACTTACATAATCCAAGAGCTAGATTTCTTCCTTGGAACCATAGAATTATATTTGATTTCTATAATAATCGCTTATTAAATAACAAAAATTTTTATGTCTTCATTAAGTCTAAATTAGTTATAGCTTTTTAGTTTAGAGAGCGTAATTAGTCCAGTCATTGTTTCTACAGAAGTAGAATTAAATTTTGATTAATTACTGTAATTAAGAAATACTGTAAATTTCATTCTATTTCTGTAGAATCTGGTTGAATTAAATTTACAGTATTTTATATAGTATACAAAATGTTCACTAAAAATAATTTCAATAATATTGAAACAAATTTTAATTATCAAATAGACGAATATGTTTAAATTTATTTTATGTACATTTGTTCTACATGTACAAATGTTTATACAATTCTGATTAATTTGTTTAAATTATAACATCCAAAAATTTCGAAAATTTAATAAATATATAAGTATAACACATGAATATTTTAATTAAATTTTCAAATAAAATAATATAAAAATATCAGACAATTTTTGTATATTTCTGAAATTCACAAAATAATTTTTATGAATTGAACAAATTTAAAAAAATTTTCTCTAGCCTAAAAAAATTACATTTTTTTTTTCAATTTCTTTGATTAATTGCACTGCAATAATTAAACAAAAAAAAAAAATTATAAACTTAGAAAAAAATATATTTTCTTTTTTTAATTTTTTTTTAATTAGTAGTGTTCAAATTAAGAAAACAAGGAAAGAAAGAAGAAAAACAATTTTTCACTACTATTCAAAAAAAAATTTTCTCATTTATAAATGAAGAAGATGAAATTTTTTTTTCCATTTTCCTACAATACGACCATTCAAAAACGAAAAGGAAACCAAATATGAATTTTCTTTTCAATGTTTTTAATAATGCAAATCTTGTCTATTGCTATTTCTTATATTTCTCAATTTATTGTTACCATCTAGACTTGTCACATTGTCATTTTGATAAATTTTTCCATTTTGATAAATATTCCATAAAAAATTTCCATTTAAATTTTATATATTTTTTTTTTCAGTTTATAGATTTCTTACGTTTTCAGATGAATTCAAATTCTTAACTTGTGTTTCTTCTATCTGAAAAGATAAAAATTAAATGTAAATTAATTATTTTAAAATGTGCGATATTGTAATTTTATTAAAGAACAGAAAAAAGAAAATATAAAATTCACATTAATCAAAAAGAGATTTATATAAGATTTATATTATGAAATGGGTTCAATAACTTCTCTACTAACTGTACAGACATAAAATGTTGAAGAATATGACAAAAATTTGAATAATTATTTCACATAATTATAAACTTTATAAAATTAAGATTAGATTAATATTCAAATTTCTTTTGTAACAATATATTAAATTACCAAAATCCAATCTGGTAATTTCTACGGTATTAAATCATCTACGGTATTAAATATACATACTACAAAAAAGGGTTATAAAAATAATTCACAACAACCCAATATAATATTATCCAACCGATTTATTTTATTTCAACAAATATTTAAGTCTAAGTAATATTGATAAGAGGGAGCTATATATCATTGCCTTCAAAATTGTAAATGGCTTGTAAAAATAAATCGGATTAAATTGGGGAGTAGACATTCATAACAGAAATACCAGAAAAAAATCGAACTTTTATCTGACGCTTTTTAGGACAGAGAACTAGAAGCAGAATTATTTAAATAATTTAATAGTTTAATGAATTACCAAGCGAATTGAACGAAATAAACAACCTTTGTACATTTAGAAAGAACAAAATTTTACGAATTATTTGTTAAGGTGAAATTGTCTTTAATAATTTATATAAGTAGTACTTAATGTTTATTAAATAAATATTTTAAATATATATTTTATATTGAGTTCATATATATTTCATACACTTATATCCTACATTTCGATATATTACTGAATATTATTTTATAATGTTCTGATTTTTTATTTTTAATAGTTAAACCTTTAATAGAGATAATTAACATAATGTTAAATTTTAATTGTAAATTTATGCGGCCAGAAGGCTTATGAGCTAGGGCTAGGAAAAAAAATGTCAGGATGTCGTAATTACAAATCGAAGCAATGCTGTATTTAATACACAATTCCAGCAATTAACGCACACGTAATTAATTTAATATTAATGTTATAAGTTTAAGTATCTTACTAATTTCAGAAATACTTTGTTTTAATGCAGAAGTCAGTTTAGACGTGCGCTTACTGCTTTATTTTAAACAAATACTTTTTTGCAATTCTGATGAATTTTCATTTGATTAATTTTTAATTTAATAATTCAACATCAACGGGCGTAAATCGAAGACAAATTATAATATGTATATGTATAAATGTATATCAACCGTGACTCAAAACATTATTATAGCTCATTATTTTCTAATATCATAAAATTAACGATAAATGCATTCAAAGAATCTTACTTCAAAAAATATCCTTTATTTATAAAATTATATATAAAAGAAAAGAAAAAAATAAAAAATTTTTTATTTCAAAGATGAGACCGAAAAAAAAAACAAAACCATTAAATCGTTAGTTTATTAACCTTTTTATGAAAATACATCAAACTAATAAATTATTTTTTGCTTTATGCAGAGAAAAAAAGGATAAAGGATAAAAATTTTTTCGATCATTGTGTACGCTTATACGATATAAATATAAAATCTATAAATAACAGTATTAAAATTATTTTTATAATTTATTAATGACGGCATAACAGTGTACAAGTACGATAATCTATAGGATATAAAAAAAAATATTAGTACATTATTTTATGAAAATTGGCTTTAACGAAACAAAAACAAAAAATGGTAAAAAGAATTTTCTTTTTTTTTATATAAATTTCTTTTTAATAATTCAGAAAATTTATTTGAATAAAATATTTGCATTTCATAGATAAGATATAAGATTATTAAGGGTTTTTCTGATTAAATATTTTTTTTTTGTTTTGATGGCCAGCGCAAAATTTGTAAACAATGGGCAAAAATAAAATTCAGCATGATTGAATTTTTTTCTTTTTTAATTTTAAAAAAATGTGGCGGCATGTTTTTTTTTCTTTGAATGCTTATTGTATAAAAAAATCTGATGTGGTCAGCACATAACCGACCGCATTGTGTATTGTCTAGTTAAATAAAAGTGTTACAGAATATTATAAAAATATCTGTTAAATACTTCTTTCCAATTTTTAGGACATTACTGAGCTTATAGTTAACGTACTTAGAAAAATGTAAATTTGGCTCTTAGTAGAGTCCCGCTTTGTGCTACCCGAATTTCCTGAAATGCTCGCCAGTTAGTTTCGGTAACAACCAGAACTCAAATATCAAATTTCAAGAAATTCCATCAATTTTTACTGTGGATATGGTGAAAAATGTAAAATCGGCACGCAAATCAGTTCTCGAGCCCTGATCTTTCCAAAAAAGTTATATGTTCATTGCTTTAATACGAGGGGTTCATATATTAAATTTCAATGAAATCGGTTGATTATTTCTCTTTATATATCCAAAAAATGTTCATTGTTTTAATATGGGGAATTCATATATTAAATTTCAATGAAATCGGTTGATTATTTCTCTTTATATACACAAAAATGTATATTTGGCCCGTAGTAAACGCCCAGTTGCTGATGCCTGATTTCTTCCAAAAGTTAGGAATTTTTGCGTATGATCGAGCAAAGCTTATATATGAAATTTCAAGTAAATCGGTTGAATACTTTCTTCAAAATGGTGAAAAATGTAAAATCGGCCCGCAAATCCGTTTTCGAGCCCTGATCTTTCCAAAAACTTTATATGTTCATTGTTTTAATACGAGGGGTTCATATATTAAATTTCAATGAAATCGGTTGATTATTTCTCTTTATATACACAAAAATGTATATTTGGCCCGTAGTAAACGTCTAGTTGCCGATGCCTGATTTCTTCCAAAACATACGAATTTTTGCGGACGGTCGAGCTGAGCTTATATATAAAATTTCAAGTAAATCGGTTGAATATTTTCTTCAAAAATGTTCAAAAATGTTCAAAAATGTAAAACAGGCCCGCTAAAAAGTGCAGTTCCCGAGGCCTGATATATACCAAAAGTTCATTGATCCGTGCCATGGTCCAAACAAACTTACATATAAAATTTCATCAAAATTGGTTCAGCCGAACTTGAGATACACGCGTGCACACACAGACCGACAGACCGACAGACCGACAGGTTGCTAAAAATAGTTTATTTACACTTCCCTACTATGGAGAAGTACGTTCCCACCGAAAACTCGATATGCAAAATTTGTTGCCATCACATAACCTACCTATTGTTTACACAATACGGTCGGTAAAAATATTTGGAAAAGGAAGCTTATGTATAATACTACACTTTTTTGTTCATTGGTAGCCTTTTGAAATTATTTTGTTTGAAAATCGTTTATTCAAAAATAAATAATTAAAGAAATGAAAAATTTTTAATTAATAAAGAAATAGAAGTTTTTTGGTTTTTTTTTTCAATAATTATTTTTGATATCCGAAAAAAGTGTAATAATTAGAGAACACTTAATTAGACGCAAAGCGGGCTAAAAACAACTACAACACTCTACAAGCATCTGTTTCTCACCTGCCGCTTTATTTATCATCAAAATTTGAAAATGTCAGTTATCAATCCTTCATTTTCTCGAGCCTGTAAGCTTTATTAAACTACAATAATATCAGTAATCGGGATTTGATTCAAAATGCATTCAATAAATTATCAGCACTATTAATAATTATGTATAAGCAACCTAATTTAATCTTCATTCTAGTATTTGGTATAATTTTTTAGAATGCTTCTGCTAATTATATGCGAAAATTATATTTTAATATTACTTATTAGTAAGAGAATCAAATTAAAATACTTAAACATAGTTAGCATTATTTAGAGCTAAACCTGTATATAAATAAATATAAGCTCCAGATTTAAATTATCTAATGGAATTGTGCTATTCTCGCTTTTATGGAAGTATACAATTTAAAACTGTTAGCTACATAATTTTTAATAATTTTAATATTTAAAAATTCAAATTTTATATACTTATAGGAAACTCTTTCAATTTTAAAGAGGAATGAAAACTTATAAATGTTAAAATTTTTATAAGAAGCAAATAACACAGTCAAATATTTATAACTATTTTTAATATTTAAATTTTTACTGTTAAATAAAATACTTAATTAGTATAAGTTAATGTTATCGTAAAACGTAAAATATCATTTATATGTATATATTCATACTTAACATCGTAAAATTAAATCATTAAATATTTTTACGAATACAATCTAACACTTAATGTGTTAATCATTATAAAACGAAAAAAAAAAATAAAATTAACCAGTAAACATTTGTGGTACATTACTTATCAAATTAGAAACCCAAATACACTTTGATCCAGACAATTTACAAAAATCAAAATCTTATGTACTGACAGCGCATATTGGCCGCAGCCAGTATTTTCTCATGGTGGTCTTAACTAGTTCCAATAAACTCATAGTTATTAAGTTAGTAAAAGGGCTGCATAAGTTTTTATTTTAAGGATTAATAAAAATTGTAATGTTCTAGTTAGTCTACTACTAAAAATATAAGTTTAGTTCTCTTAATGAATGAATAAGTATTTGTTCTCTATAATGAGATAATTAGTCAGTTTCATAAAATTTTGTCGAATAAAAAGTTCATAATTTCTTAATTATTAAATGAAGTCAGTAAATTTTCGAAAATCTTTTCTAACTGTACTATGTATGTGGATGTGTGGGAATATTTATGATGCAAGGATAGTCCCTATAAAGGAAATAGTTATAAAATTAAAAATTTTAATTAGAAGTACGTGCATAGTATGTAGAATTATTTTTAATGAAATTAATCTTTAACTAGCAACTACATGCGGTATCCATAAAAATATTTACGCTTTTATGTGAGATAATTAATAAAATTTTATATACTTACTTATGAATGTATATGTAAAAATTTTTTAAGTAGTAAACATTAACATAGCTAGAAAATTATGAATGGCAGTAATTGTATTTATAATGTTTATTAAGTGATAACATTCATTCAGTAAATTTAAGGAAAGT